GATCTTAAATGTAATTAATGCTTGCCATATGTCAAGCTTATGTTTTGGTATAAAATACTACTCACTGTTGACGTGATGTATGGTCCTCCCCCATGAGCAGATATCCTATTATTTTCACACTATGTATATATTTGTGTTTGTTTGTTTTTGGACACAAAGCTACCCAATGAACTATCCATGTTCTGCTCATCGCGGATGTCGAAACTCGATTTTTAGCATTATAAGCCTTCAAATTTACTGCTGAGCCACCTGGGGGCCTTATGTACATACATCGGTCTAACTTGATAATCATTTTGAAGAATCGGAGGAACATTGGTTTGTTTTGAATTTCGCGCAAAGCTACACGAGGGCTATCTGCGCTAGCCGTCCCTAATTTAGCAGTGTAAGACTAGAGGGAAGGCAGCTAGTCATCACCACCCACTGCCAACTCTTGGGCTACTCTTTTACCAACGAATAGTGGGATTGACCGTCACATTATAACGACTGGGATTCGTCCCTCAGATCGCGAGTCGAGCGCCCTAACCACCTGGCCATGCCGGGTCATACTGAAATGTAACAAAAAGTTGTGTAACACAGGTGTATACTTACCTTCTCCGAAAGAGGGCCAAAGGCCACCTGGAGTGGTCAACTTATACCTTTATACAATAATGTGTTGTAAAATGTCACATAGGGGACGCCTAACATTGCAGTTTGTACTGTCGTGACGTAAGTAAAACGTGCGCATACCATGAATCACGAGAAGAATTACGCACTATGCAGAGTAGAACAGAGCATGACATACGAACTTCTAAAGCGAGATATAAAATTATTTGTTACTCTTAATTTCGGTTTCATTTACTCTTGAAACAGGATCCTACGGAAGTACATCTAGTGCATGATTATTTTATAAACAAGTTGTTGATGATGTCGTGTATAAATAACAGATGATTATTCGATATCCTTCATAATAAAATGGTTTTTTTTTTATAATGATTTACATTTCCTGCAATGGTTTAATGTTTCAGGCACGATATATACACAATTCTAGTTTGATATACAAACTCAGTTTTGCTTTCTGTTCTAGAGTTTCTGTATAAAGTTTAATATATAAAATGCATGTCTACCTAGGTTAGAAGTGCTTAATCCTCTTTTAAATTCAGAACGTTCCAACCAACACGTGTACAGTTTGTTGTTTATAGTTATAGATATTTCCACTACATAGCTCGGTGGTTATATTCTGCCAGATGTAGTGTTTCATGTATAGAGACGCTACTGTTTAAATTAACTGCATGTACTAGGATAGGATAAGTAGTCGCATACTATCTGTTTTCACTCTTTCCTTTACCTATACCTTTTACAATTCAGAACGTTTTATTATGAACTGCTACATTAATGTCCACTAACATAAGTAGTATTCAGTTTGAAAAATGCAATATTTATTATTCTAAATTACTTATTATTCAAAATTATAAACTGTAAACTGTCAGATGTTTTATACGTGATATATTAAAATGTTCACGAATACAGTAACATTCTAAATACATAACTTCAAACTGCTACTTTTATTCTAGTTGTAAGCCTAACCATGATAAATTTCATTGTCTGTTATTAACTTTGATTACTGATGTGTAGTATGTTATTTGTTTTCTCACAATTTCAAACAACATAATTCAAGTCCTGTTATTTAAATATGACCATTTTTCGTTTGCTTTTACACAGGCAATACAATAAATAAAAAATAAATTTCTAAAAACAAATTTTTGTAATTTATATCAAACATACTGCCATTCAAGGCTGACTTACATTTATTTCTAAGATGTAAGATGGTGTAGCATATTACTGATGCAGTAAAAACAAAAATGAAATATACAACCTATCCTTAAAAGTTAAATAATCAGAACTGTTTCACATGTTAGTAGCGTTGCTACACATTATTATTTATATGTTATATTTATATATTATCTATATGTTTTTGACTTTGTCATTATCAAATTCAAAGTTCATCACAACCAACTGAGTTTTATTTAAAAATGAGCATAGTATATTACTGGTGTAGCAGCAGTTTCCAAAGTTTACTATGATCCATAACTTTAATACTTTTTTGTAATAAAAATTAGACCATTAGACCTTAATATAAGGTAAAAATATTCTTTTACAAAATAAGAATTTGTTCAACAAAAAAAACATCAAATTCTTCAAACTTATAGTACAGTAAATTATGACTCAATTTGTAAATTTTTTATTGTAAATGTAAGTCTTTTTTTTTAGATTCATTTATGTGTTTTAATGAAGTAATAACAATTTTTATAGCACATAACATGTTCCACACTTTTTCCCACAGATTTCAGCAGTTTCGTTGGGCGTGCACAACCTGAAGTGTACTACTTTCAAAAACAAATAACAGACAATCAAAACAATGACTTTCAAGTGTTTTCTGATAAACCAACTTTAACAGAATACCAAAAAATACAGTTTTATTCTGAGAGAAATAATAAAATCAGTATGTACCAACAGATGGTACATTCTTAATAAAAAAAAACCTTATACATGTCTACATTGACAGATAAAACATACCCGTAACTGATGACGTAATGTTATGTGGCAGTAAATAGTTTAGTAGCCTAAGGTAGAAGTTGTTTGTTAAAGTTTTCAAAAGTGATACTTAAAATATTTAATTTTTTTTACAGTTGAAACTATATAATCTCTTAATGTAAACAAATACTGAGAGGGGAGAAGCTGCTAAACTAATAATTGTTTAGATATTTCTGTAGATACAACCTAATATCATATTTGCCCTATCACTAACAAAGCACATTGCTTGAATAGTTTAGGAATCTAATCAACCAGAGCATCAAGATCCCTTTCTTCCATAACACTGTTAAAGTCACTCCCATCAAAATTATGTATATAATTCATGTTATTAAAACCCACATGCATTATCTTGCATTTATTATAATTAAAATCCACCTGCCATTTATTTGCCGAACTCACTAAATGATCTAAATCCTTTTGTAAATTAGCAGCATCCTCTTTACAGCTCGCAACACCCAAGACCTTATTATCATCATCAAATTTCTTGACCATTCTTTCATCTATTTCATTGATGTTAAATCAAAAAAGAACTAAGTACTAACACTGAGCCCTGAGGTACCTCACTTGTAACATTACTCCACTTTGACTGAACTCCATTTATAACAACCTTCTGTTTTCGTCAATCCAACCACTTTCTATCCAACGAATCAACTTATCCACACATCCACAGAGATACTATAAAAAGCCTTTTCTTTAGTTAGCTATTCATTGCAGGCTAGCTAACTAAATGTAAGTTATCATTACCCGATTCCTAAAAATGTTCCTGTAACTTTCAATAGCATAAAAATCATCAGGAATGAAAATAACAATTAAAAAAATTGTACAAATTCTGAGATCTGCATACTTTTCCCAGTATTCAAACGTTTGTGATTAGATTACTACTTCACCCTACAAGAGCTCCATCTGGTTATTATAATGACAATTAAACCACAAGATATTGCTGAACGACTTTGTTTACTGTACTATAGGGTAGATAGATTAGAATCTATCTAATCTTATATAATCAACATCCTGTCCTATAAACCTTCTGCTCTAGTTGAGTTCAAAGCTGAATTTCAGGAGTTTTTATGCTTTACCACTTAGCACAAGGTAAGTGCTTCTAGTAATAAAAAATAAATTGTGTTGAAAAGAAGGTATGGTTTAATATATTTCTAAGGGAGAATAGCCTTTTTGGTAAACATAAGTCTAAGCATTGAGGTGAGTAAAAAATAAATTGTGTTGAAAAGAAGGTATGGTTTAATATATTTCTAAGGGAGAATAGCCTTTTTGGTAAACATAAGTCTAAGCATTGAGGTGAGTAAAAAATAAATTGTGTTGAAAAGAAGGTATGGTTTAATATATTTCTAAGGGAGAATAGCCTTTTTGGTAAACATAAGTCTAAGCATTG